AAAGTAACATATGCTCAAGACTTTCCTCCTCCTCACCGCACAAAGGGCATCTATTGTCAATACTCATGCCCCTAGCCACCGAATTACATCTCACAGGCATCCCATTCTTAACACACCTCCACGCAAAAAGCTTCACTGTGGGTGGAATTCAAGAGTGCCAAATTGCTTTCCAACTAAAAGGGGTGCTAGTTCCAGAAATATACGCTTCTCTTTTTCTCTCCTCTTCGATTAAAACATTATATGGACTCCTAACATTATAGGAGTCATCCTTTGAAAAATGCCATGTCCATCCATCATCATCATCATACATTGGGATCGGAATGCTGCAAATTTCAAGCACCTCACGTTGAGAAAACAGCTTGCTAAGAGTATCAATACGCCATTTTATCCTCCCATAGCTCATACACACAAAGTTTTCAGAATTGGGATTCTACTTTGAATCGGTGAGTGGGGTAGAATTGAATTGGTAAAATCGAATCGTAGAATCGTACGATTCTACCAAAATGTAAAATTGGGCTTCAAAATGTAACAAATGACTACATACATAATTTTATAGCAATGAGAATGATAATAATATATATTGTTAATAACATAATATTGTCATACAAACATAAAATATTTTTTCAAGTAATTTCGCACGCGCATAACTCAAACAATACACTATAAACTTTAAAGTCAGATTATTGGTACACATTCTTAACCATGAGAGTACATGATAGTTGTTGTTCAATTATGAAAAAAATGACGTTGTTGACTCGTAAAGTTGTTTTCCCTAGACCCATGCATAACTAAAAAAAAAAATCCAATAATGATAGAAAACTAAGTGTCAAGTTAGTTCATTTAACGAGATAGCTAAAGAATGACAACTACAACAAACTCATGTTATAAAAGTGTTTTTTTATATTCCCAAAGTTAGTGCATGAGACTCATGAATGCATTCTTATGCCCACAAAATTTAAATGGTTGGATAGAATCTTAAAAGTTATTTAAATTGATGTTTCATAAGCTTTGTTATGATTTAGATTGAATAACATGTAAGTCATTGACTAAAGTTAGGTTCAACTATGACACCCTTACACTCTTTAGTCTATAACATAAAATAAATAAATTATATAGGTACAAAACCAATTCTATTAGAAATTAGACTTCAAGAGCTTTCGAATGACATATTATAAGCCTAATTCCGACTTCGGAATAAAAAGTTATTGGTTTCGAAAAATCAGGATTTTTGTAGGAGTAGAATCGGTTACAATCGGTGAAATCGGTACCAATTCCACCGATTCTAACCGATTCTACCGATTCTATGAGCGATTCTACAGCATAACAATTCTATCAGCGATTTACATCGTTTAGGTGGATTAGGATCGTAGAATTGTCCGATTCTACGATCCAATTCGCGATTTTAATAGCATTGCATACACATATTATTCTAGAACATTTTCTTCATTCCCCTTACACGAGTAAATGCGAAAATCAGGCAATTTGGGCACCCAAGGATCCTTCCAGATGTTAATCGAAACTCCCCTTCCCACTGTCTTTCTCGCACCTTTTTCAATAACACCTCGCACACTTAAAATCGAGCACCAAGTAAAGCTCATATTAGACACAAGTTTTGCCTCAAAGTAATTCGAGTGTGGAAAATATTTCCCCTTCAAAACACGAGTCATGAGGGAGCTCTCATTCGTCACAATTCTCCAAGCTTGCTTTGCAAGCATATCCCTATTGAAGAACTGCATATTACGAAGACCCAAACCACCCTGGTTCTTTGATCGACACATCTTGTTCCACGCCACCCAGCAAGTTCTTCTTTCCTCATCCTTTTGACCCCAAAAGAAATTCCTACACATTTTTTCCACCACATTTAGGATACTAACATGGATAGAAAAACATTGCATTGCATAAGTAGAAAAATTTAGGATACTAACAGGGATAGAAAAACATTGAGCCACTGATTTAATGAGAATTTCACAACCTGCTTGCGACAAAAATTTTTCCTTCCAACCCTTAAGCTTCTTCTTGAATATTCTGGTTTAAACAATTTTTTTGAATATTCTGGAAAACAATTTTTATAGAACCTCCCATGTAAGAAGGAAGCTCTAAATATTCGACAACCTTAAAAGATAATTTAATTTGAATTATATTTTTCTTCTCAAGATCAATGTTTCGGCTTAATGACACCTCCGATTTTTCCATATTCAGTTTCTGACCCGACGCCGTCTCATAGTTTGAAAGAATTTCAAGAACCTTATCTGTTTCATCCTCATTTGCCCGGACAAAAAGAAGATAGATAATCATCTGCAAAGAAAAGGTGTGATATTGGCTCAACATGTCTCCCAATTTTTATGCCATGAATGAGTTTTTTCTTCTCTACATCCCAAAGGAGAGCTGATAAACCCTCGGCAAACATAATAAAGAGGAACGGGGATATGGGATCTCCCCGTCGGATTCCTCTAGAAGGCCTAAATTCCCGAGATGGTTGTCCATTCACCAACACATCAAAAGAGGCCGATGACACAAAATTCATAATATTTTCCACAATTATCTCCGAAGAAGCCAAATTTTTTCATCATTTTTTCCAAAACTTCCCATTCTACTCTATCATATGCCTTTCTCATGTCAAGCTTCAATCCCAAAAAACCTCTCTGCCCATATTTCTTTTTCCTCAGACAAAAGCACTCATATGCAACCAAGATGTTATCAGTGATCAATCTACCCGGAACAAACCCACTCTGAGACTCACTGAAAATGGTAGGTAGAACTTTTTTAAGTTTGATTGCTAGGACTTTAGAAACAATTTTATACAAGACATTACACAGATTAATAGGTCTATAATCAACAGGAGACTCACACTCTTTTTTTTTCGGAATTAAAACAATGTGAGTCTGATTAATAGCACCTACATTGTTCAGAATATCCAAAGTATGATTAATCACATCATTGCCAACGATATGCCAAAATTTCTGAAAAAATATTGCGGACATACGATCGGGGTCGGGAGATTTAGTGGGATGCATTTGAAAAAGCGCTTCACGGACCTCGTCATCAGTGAAGGGGGCTGCCAAATCAAAGAATTGCATCTCCGAAATCTTCGAGTCCACCTTATCAATGACAACATCAGCTTCAACTCGACCTCCTGACGAAAATAAATCGTCAAAATGCTTGACCAACACCTCATAAATCTGCTCTTCCTCCTTGTAAACATTCCCGACAACAACTTTAATTTCCCGAATGTGGTTTCGGCTTATTTCAATATTTAAAACGTCTTATAGTTTCTCCATTTTTTTTTTTGGTTTTTTCTATTTGGAATATAAACACTATTTAATACAAAGTATTCTAAATTAATTTTAATATATGGAGTACAAAATTTTCGAAGTATAAAATTGTATGATGAGTCTAATTTATTTAATTCGTCTCAATAAGTACTTAAAAATTACCATGCAAATAAATATAAAAATATACCAAGCAAATAGCATAAGGCATAAAGGTCAGCAACAACAATTCTCCTTAAAGAGCTAGCTATAACGTGCACATTGTGCGCGTAAGAATCCCTAATTTTATATAAAGTTTATAATCATGTATCCAGGTAAAGATAATAACAAATTCTATTGGTTTATGTTGAAAAAAATATTACAAAAAATTGATTGAGGTACATACAAATTTGGATTAATTAAAAAATGCTTAATTCTAATAAATATATAATTTGAATCAAGTTAAAAACAAATAACTAAAGGGTTCGTTTGGCATTGCTGTGGTTTTCTGTTTTTTGGTTTTTTGTTTTTTAAAAGTATATGATATATGCCCCATAAGGCCATAATGAATCAAAAATTATTTAAACTTATTAAAATCATGATAATTTTGAAAACTGACAACAGAAAAGTGAAAACACCTTTTTCTTGTTTCCTGTTTTTGGTTGTTGGTTTTCAAAAAAATAGGAAACTGAAAACCCAAAATAATGCCAAACAAATCAAAGGTCAGTGCAGTTAGATTTAGGTCTACTTGGCTTACATAGCTTTGGGGTTGATCAAAATGATGGGGTTGGCTGGGTAATTATATGATTGGGTAATTTTTTGGGTTTTGGGTAGTGTAAAATTATTAGGTCTAATTAGTTTCAACTAGACTATGATCATTTTTAGGTCCACTTTGAAGTGGTAGATTATATAATAATCTAATAGTTGTTAGTTAAATTTTGAGTCGGTAATGCAAACTAAGCTTGGATCTTAGGTTACTCAGGTGAAATCAAATCAAATCTGACTCTGTTTAACTAAGTTTCCAAGTCAATCAGTTTTTGCTTTGGAAAATTTGCCAACAATATTACTATTTAAATGACAACTTTTGAAAACAACTAGCATTTGATTGGGAGCCCACTTTAAAATATTATATCCCGCAAAAAAACCCATATTCAGGGCCTATTCTCTTCAGCTTATTTTCACTTCAGTTCAGATTCAATAAGTTCAGTTCAGTTCAGTTCTTAATTTCCTTTTCTCATAAAATATTCAGTTCAGTTTAGTTCAGCTCAAATAAGTTCAGTTCACTTCAGCTCAGTTTAGTCAATCAGAATAGACCCTAAATGATGACATATGCTTTACATTATCCATAAATTGGGTAATACACTTCAATTGCTCCAAGTCCCTCAATTTCGTAAAACACTAAATTCACCATGTATTTATTTATTTATTTTACCATAAACCCTAATTTTAAGATTTAATAGAGAAATTATTTTTTTAGAAAAATAAAATTCAAACGAGAAATTAAATCTACAACAGTGTGAAATTAAAAACAATTTACGTAATTGTATTCGCCCCCCAAATTTCCTTGTTTTCTCTACCACAGTCATTTGAAGTTTTATGTGGTCATTAAATTTTTTTTATTTTAAAATTTAAATAGCAATAATTCTCAAAAGTAATTTTACATCCGATTTTATTATTTGGAACTTTGGAGTATTATTTATCAAATATAAAATATTAAAAAATTGCAAATAATAAAAATCGGAGATACTATTTGAATACATTACTTGTTGACAAAATTTTCTTTAAACCCATTTTAGCGTGTCATTAATATCCTCCTAAATCTTAGATCTACAGTAGTTGTATAATTTAATTTTTCCATTCGAAGTTTTTTCACTTCACTGTTCACACCCCTCCTCTCTTCCCTCCATTGAGGCGTTCGCTGAATCCTCCGTTGAATCGCACTCTGAATTCTCCATTGAAGCGGTTTATGAGCTTTCTCTTCTCCATTGAAGCAGTTTCCGAGGTAATATTGTTTTTTTTTTTTTTTTTTTTTTTTTTTTTTTTTTTTTTTAATTCAAGCGAATATCAATTTCGCAATTTTAATCATTAATTCAATTACAAACATAGTAAAATTAGGGTTCTTTTAAGGTGGATTATTGATTATAATTACTGAAGTTATGAAAGATTGTATCGAATTATTTTTCTGCTAGAATTTTGTTAGAATTTAACTTAATTTCGAGCCTAATTTGATAATTGAGTCAACTTTGGTTGTTAATTTGTTGCAGGTTTTGGTTTATATAACCCTTTAATGTCAGAACCAAACCATGAAAATGGACCTTTTCTTGCTCAGGAACGGACATGTTTGAATGTTAGTATTTTCTCACCATCTTTTTTGAGTTTTAAGACTTTACAACTATTGATTATTTAACAATGTTTTTGGTTATTTGAATTTGATAATGAGAAATTGTTTATGTTTGTGTTCAGTTCATCATTACGCTTTTCTAAGTTTAAAATCTTGGCTCCGACACTTGGTTTTAGTACACTACTAGTACTTTGTTATCGAGCAAAGGTTGAGCTTTATGTGAGCCAAAACAATTAAACATAGACTGCACAATCTTCATCATAAATCTTGTTGTATAATTAACTAAAAAATCAAATCCTTCTTAAGAGTAGGCCATCTTCTTTCGTAGTTGTTTTTGCTAGAATTTGTGAAATTTGGAGCCTTGAAATAAGCTTTAGTTCAAGTTAAGTAGTTCGACTACTTTGAGTTACTAAATTGCTCCACCTTGTGCCTGTTGTGAGCAGTGGCGGATCCAAAATTTTAAGGGTGCTGGGTCACCATCACCCATCGATCGCATACCCATTGATATAGGAGGTAGAATTTGTTGAAGATGATTTTGTGATAGAGGAGGATTTTGTGGCAGTAGATGCATTTTGGGACTAAAGAAAGTTGTTACTCGTATATCACACGTCTTTTTTCCTTGTCATTATGAAAATTAAGTCACAGTTTTAGATTAAACAATCCAATATTGTCAAAAATACCCAAGTTAATTATACAAACAAAAACTTGTTAACCACTTTCTGCTCACCGCCCATTCGTACCCACCTAGGCGAGCCACCACCTTTGACCCTCTCAACGTAGACACCAAGGCCGACAATCAAACAACCCCAGCCATCGCCGACCCACCCGGTATACCCAACCAAACAGAAATTAAAGTTTTATTTATTTATTTTTTATTTTTTATTTTTTGGTTTTGCCGACTTGAAAAGCCATCCATAGTTTGAAGAAACAATAGAAAATCAAAACTGAAACCACATCCACAATTGACTTCTATTCTTGAAGTTATTTTTTTGGGTTGTTGAAGATTTTAAAGTTTCTAGTTGTATTTTATATGTACATGTAAGGGATGGATGACATATGGGCTGCCGTGGAAAAGGAAAATAGGGCGGGGAAGGGGGTTGTGTTGCTAGGGAAGGGGAAAGCAGGGGCTGCTGGGGAGGAGGAAAGGGGGGACGACTGGGAGAGAAGAGAGGAGTGTGAGGAAGAGAGAGAAAGAGAGGAGCATGAGGAAGAGAGAGAGAGAGAGAGGAGCGTAAGAAATAGAGGAAGAGAGAGGGTCGTGAGAAACTGAGAATATAGCAAAAGACTTTATTTTTGTTTTTTTTTTCAATAAATTAAAACTTGAATTTTTTGGCTGGGTCACGTGACCCAGCGCGAACATAGCTGGGTCCGCCCCTGGCTGGAGTTGGAAGCTATAAAAAAAGGTTTTTCTGTAGAGTTTGCTTCTAGGAGGGATAGTGGGAAATGTTTGCATTTTGCAAACCATGTAAGAGACCATATAATTTAAAGTTTATTGGCGAGGCTACCTTGAGCAAGTGATAAACCAATAACACTTTGTTTCTGAATTGTGTTTTGGCAGTTTTTTGTCATATGTTTTTGTACACTTATTATACATAAAGAATAGGACCTTAGTTCGCAATGCAATCTGATGCAGTGAGAATTCTTTACTTTTCACTTAATTCTTTCACTTGAAATTCTTGTTGGTAAGCTCCCTCACTAATTTACGCCATTTAAGGGGCTCTCTACGTTATAACTTATAACTTACAACAACTCCTCTACCACTTCCAAAAACATCTATATTTGTGAGAATTGAGCTGAGAAACTTCATATTGCTTACAAGGATTACCTGATTGAGGTCTTTAAAGCTAGATGTGGCAACCTTTTGACTAAGATTAATATTATTCGAATGGATGTTAAAGCGTTCTTGGCTTCTTGCTACCACTAGAGTGAAATTTCCTGTAATTTTCTGGACCCCTTAAACTGTCATAGTGTTTATATAGGCTTTGCTAAGGTTCGATTGATTCTTCTCTAAACCTTTCCCGTTTCTGGGGACAACTCTTTTTTATATATAGTTAGAGATTCTTCTATTTATGATTATTACTAAATCTGGAGATCAATCAATAGTTAGAGAAATATGTTGAACCATATTTTTGCATTTACAATGTTGATATGAATTTTGTCCCAAGTCACAACCACCTTCACCAAACAAGTCCCCACCATCGAAACCACCATCACCATTTGCACAGCGCTCCTCACAAATTCCTAAATACCTACCTTAAATTATTCCCCGTCATTACAGACGCAAGGAGAATCACCACCACTTCCCCATTTCTAAACCTCTCCCATGGAACACATCATACAAATTACTGCTATTTCTATGCCCTACTACCTAAGAAAATATATGTCAACCACATTTCCTAACTTAGGAGTTAGGACTGCTCCCTGCTCTCCCCTTCCCCAAGCTTGTACAGCTATACAGATCCTGAAAGATATCCTTAACCCACAACTGTGAATTGAGCATGCTTTTAAGATTTACCACCACAACTGATGACATTATTTTTCCAATTCTATTTTTACAGCTTTGTTGGATTTCTCTTTGATTTTTTAAGTGATAACTTGAATCCTTGACCACCCCCTTTTATGCATTATGTCTTACTATTTTTGTTTATCCTTTCCTTTGGGTAAGGCTGCAAAGGTTGTAAGCCAGGACACTGTATTTCTGGGTTGAGTGGCTTTAATGGAGTTGGATAAAAAATTATGGAATTTGCTGAGGTTAGATTGTGCTGACATAACTCAAAACGATAGTGTAATGCTTTTGTGTATGAATAATCAGGTGGAAAACCTGTCCCTATGAACACTGAATCATATGATGCTAAATTGGGCCTTTGCCCTTTTTTGGTTGGTATTGTATCTTGCTGTTTAGTCTTTGGATGTCTCTTGTTTTGTTTATGCCAAAAAAATCTGTTACTGATTTGCTCTTTTCCCTTTGAGCTCTATTCTTATTCTTTGTCATAATGTCATATTTACTCTATTTTTTGTCTTATCAGTCTGCAGAACGGATTGGGATTGGGAATGTATTCAACAAGCTGACAAAGCAATTGGGCAATCCTGTCGAGTTTGAACTTCCAGACCGGTTAAATAAATATCAGTCTGCTCCATATATTTTTATAAGACGCAGTATCCTTCAAAATTAAAAATTTGTTTCATGCATAGTTGGGAAATTTATGGAGTGTCATGTGATGTTCTTTTGCTTCTAGAAGTGATATGCACTGTAGCTATCTTTTTCTTAAGCTCTTATAATTTTCTCAGCATTAATCTGTAAAAGATCAGTTGTAGAGTTGTAGTTAACTGGGTTATGGTTGTCTCAAGTTGAAGGTGGAATACAGATCATTTGTGATAATCCTACTCCTGTTCTTCTGTGTCATATTTTTCTCACATTATATAGATCATCTTCTTTTTGCTGAGCATTGCTTTCTTCACTTTCTTTTGTTATTGTTAACAAAGCTAGATATATATGTGACTAAGAAACCAAAGAGGCGCCATGAGGATGATGGTATATTTTGCACTTGCAGTTCATCTACAGGATCTAATGCTTCTTGTGGTAGAGACTGCCACTGTGGGTAAGTAGGACTAACTACTTCTATCATGTATTTGTTTGTTTCTGATGAACATTAGAGAATAGATGTACATGTTTTTTTAACCTGGATATTTTATGTGCTCCTTTATATTTCTAAAGAATGTAGACAACTTAGTATTGGGCTATTTATGTCTGATGAGTGTAAAGCTGTAAACATTACATACATTTCTGTCTGCTTTCTGATGGCACAATTCAGTTGCTGTGGATTCACCTGATAGACCTCTTTTCATCATGAACAATTGGGCTGTTTATGTCTAATGAGGATAAACATTAAGTACATTTCTGTGTCTGATGACACAATCCAGTTGCTGTATTGCTGTGGGCACACCTAATAGACCTCCTACCAACATGAATAAACGCTAGAAAATTAGATTGATATCATGATTGGTGTTCCTCTTAGTAGTTGCATAGTGTTAATTAGCAATGCACCACTATTGAAGCATTAACTTCAATGAATTGGGTTTACAGTTAAGGCCATGAGGTATTTGGGTTTACATGAACATATAGCACTTGATAGAAGGTAATGGAGGAAAAGGATCATGGTTGATGACCTGTAATAGACTAGATAATCTGATTTCATTAAATTGATTGAATAAGAAGAAAGAATAACAATGGAAGCTTGAATCTTGATCGACAATTGCGCAAAGGGTTAGAAGGATAGGTTTAATAACTTTAGGCCATTACTCTCAAAAGAGCTTGAGGCTATAACTCTCAAACTCTCTCTAAGATTTCTCCAATAAAAATTTCTGCATATCTTCCTTCTACTACTCTCTACCTCTTTATACTACTTAGCTAAGCAAGTACAACTTTAATTCCTACATTTTCTAATTCTTATCTTCATCCCTAAAAGCCAGCATGGCAGCTAATAAGCCAACACAACAACTACCAGCTTTAAGGATGTGCTTCCCCTTGTGGTGGTGTGTTAGCCTACCCCTTTTTTTCTGCCTTCTGCTGCAAGTGTGAAGAACAGGTGGTGTGTTGGCCTGATTTGTTACACGACCATAGGAGATACATTTTTGGTTCGTAGCCGGTCCCATCCTTGAGATTAAGGCTTTGATATTGTTGTTTTGTAGGCATCTTTACCTCTTTGGGTATAAGTAAACAACTTCAAATGCCATCTGATTGCTTTGAGATGAATGATTGCTTCTTGAATTTCTCTTACTAGTACTATGTACTATTTCCTTGCATATGGTTTGGGTTGGGTTATCTCCTTGGCTCAATGCACATAAGTGCTTTACAGGTTTTAAATATTGGCTGGGACAAAATTTTGACAGTTGTGAAGTGATGATGGCTACATGACACTGGACAAACACCCATTTTTTTTTTTTTTTGAAATAATAATATCTGATTATTGTCCAGTTGCATTTCGTCGAGCTACTGAGGTACATTTATCTGTATATATCAGGCTTGCTTACCTACAATGTTTTTTCTGGACATTTATTTGCTGCTGAAAATGGTTGATTTTAAATTTATGTGCTGAATTTATTCTTTTATTTTTAGACACTTGAATGTTTCAAGAATAATAAAGAATCTGTGATTTTGGTTTAAATGCCTGCAGTTCGGCATTTCTTCTGCTTACTGCTTGTATATTATACATTACTCTGAGAAGAGTTTAAAGATTTTCTGCCACCACCAGTCCAATATGAAGTAACAAGTCTCATTCCCTCTTTTCGGAAATCTATAAAAGAGGCTTGTTTTTTTAGGATGTTAGTTCATTTTTTAGATACCATCAGGCTTTTCAGCTGTCATAACGGTGTGATAGAATGCATTTTGAAAGTTTATAGGTATTTTGCAACTAGTAGCATTCAAATGATTTCTTCAATAATAAAAAAAAGTAGCTGCAGATGGTTATTTTATTTAATTTTAAGGGAGGATTCTGTCGTATCTAATTACATGATCTCAAGGTAAAATGTGGAAATGGAATCTATCCTGGGATTTAGGTTTTCTTACTTGTGAGGGTTTTCGCCGAATCTAACCTGTTACAAAACACTGACTAATTGTACTCCACAGAATGACCCTGATCATCTAATTTGTGTCCTTTTCTTTTTGAGAATTGTTACATAGGATGTCTTTTATGAAGGAAGATATCTGTGTTGATGGGGAGAGGATAACTATAATTTATGTGCTCCACAATATTTGCAATAGCATCTTGATCTTTTTCAGTTAGGAGTTTGTTTGGGTGAACATAATTGCTCTGTTATTGACTAAAAGTTCATTTGTTGGCGATGGATGTTTGTGAAATAATTAAATATTTCTTTTTTGCAGGATGTTACTCTCCACCTGCTCCTCAAACTGTAAATGTGGAGATGATTGTGTTAATAAACCATTTCAACAGCGTCCTGTGAAAAAGTTGAAACTAGTGCAGGTTTATATCTTTTCATGGTTATATCAGAACTTTTTATTCTTTTGTTTAAAATATTTGAATTTGTCAATTTTTGAAAAAATTGTGAGAAATCACCTTCTAAATACTTATTTGGGAGGTAGCACCTTATAGGATTATATAAGACACAGAATTTCTAATTGTCACCTTGTATACAGTTTTCGGCCAGAAAAGTCAAATTTCGGTAATGACTTTCTTTCTTTCCCTTTATTCTCACGTGAATGATTCTTTTGTATTTATATCCCCCCCCCCCCCCCCCCGCCAATTTCACCTTCTCCCCTACTCTCTTTATTCACTACACCTTCAATATCCTCTATATTCTTCTTCAATATCCTCTATATTCTTATTCATTCTTACTTCAATAACTAACTAAATTACTTGTCCACTAAGCCAATGTTACACATCGGAAAGAATCTAATAAATGAATTAATTAAAAAAGACAGTGGGAGGCTCAAAAAGTACAATTAAGAGGGATAAACAAAATGAATTTCTGAACATATTCAGCAAGATGATATCACCTAACAGTGAGGAAGGAGAACCAAGATGATATCTCTGGGAGTTGCAAAAGAAACATATGAGAAACAGAGTTGTAAGGTAGAAAAACAGAAGGGAAAAAAAAAGATAGAAATTGTAAGGTACACATATTGAATGAAGGAAATGCATAAGAGAGAAAAAGTTCACGGCTGGAATTTTGACTGGCAGCCATTAGGTGTTTTTGGAAGACTTTCTCATATAAGGTGCTTTTTGACAAAATAACAATTAGATTATGTAAGGCGCTATCTCTCAAAATGGTAATCAAAAGGAATTTTCAATCAAATTATTCTCAATTTTGTTACATTTTTCTATTTTTCTGTGACAAGACCAATAAGTAGATGCTGAGTATCATTCGGATCCAGTATACTCTAAAATGACTAGAAGTCTTTGGAGTCTGTTTTTCATATGGGAAGACATCATAGGTGGGATACTGGGATCAATTGTGAGTTAGTGACAATAACATCATCTTCGTGGTAGCGTTCAATATGCAGAGGCAACTTTGGCCTTGTCTTCTTTTATGTGTTTGACGTCCCTGTTTCTAAGTGAATTGAATGATGCAGAAATCTTCTAATCTTTTGCTTGGCCATTGAATTTTACATTCTTGTACTTTTACGTACTTATTTTGGAGGATGCTTATAGTTTATTTTTTAACTAGGATCTATTGCATTTTATGGATAATATTTGTTCTGATCTCTCAAGGTGCCAATTTAAGATTATGTGTTTCTTGTAGACTGAGAAATGTGGAGCAGGCATTGTGGCTGTTGAAGATATTAAGCAAGGGGAATTTGTTATTGAATATGTTGGAGAAGGTGCTTACTTGTGCTCTTACTGTTATGCTTCCATGTTGCCACCTTTTCCAATCATTGAATGATCTTTGTCACTGGTGCAGTAATTGACGATAAATTATGTGAAGAAAGGTTGTGGCGCATGAAAAGCACTGGGGAAACAAATTTTTATCTTTGTGAGATTAACCGGGACATGGTAATCGATGCCACAGAGAAGGGGAACAAATCAAGATACATTAATCATAGTTGCTGTCCCAACACAGAGATGCAGAAATGGTTTTTGTTTAGATCCTTGAACTAATTTGTTGAAGCATTGATTGTGTTCGAAATTGACTTGGACCTGTTTTATTAGGAGTATAGATGGAGAAACAAGAATTGGTATATTTGCTACACGTGACATTAAAAAGGGCGAGCATTTGACATATGATTATCAGTAAGTACTTAAAGACTATCTCATTGTGCATTTGCTATTGGCTTGCTTTTGTTTTGGACAATGTTAAGGGGTTATAATGCCTGCAGTTTGCAGACTTACAAGACATAATTTCTTTTCTATACAAACCAAGCTAATGAATTTAGCAGGTTTGTTCAATTTGGTGCAGATCAAGATTGCCATTGTGGTGCTGATAGCTGTAGACGTAAACTTGGTGTCAAGCCTAACAAGAAGATGCCTTCATCTGATGCCGCATTAAAATTAGTTGCACGCCAGGTAGCGGCATCATCTCCCAAAGTGAAAGCAATTTTGTTGGGAAAAAATGTACGTTGTGATGGTCTATTTCCTTATCAAGTGATTTTTATATGAATATGGCTCTGGTTTCTTGAAATTTAATATTGGCGAATCTTAGCTAGAGCACTAGACCAAAATTTGTGATGTTTTTCACTGATAAATCTAATCTTGAGAGTGAATTCTTTACAAATCCATGTCTAATTTGTTGGGTGAGGTTCAACTAAAGGAAGGCTCTATGTTCTCCAATATGCTGTACCTATATGCATTCGAACCATTGTCTATGATATTCCCTGTTTTGCAATGGCAGAGATTTGAGGGCTCTATGTATACTTAAGACATTTGGGGTCACACCAAACAATAGCTTCCCCACTATGCCTCTTGTTGCTGCTACTAATGCAGTGGTATTGTACTGGAGTTTGTAACTGCATATAAGATTAATATTAACTCCAAAGGTAGGTGGTCCTCACTTGTCAAACAAGCGAACCACTGAAGTCCTTTTGAGCTTACAGTACGGATATGAAAAAAAAGGAAATTAATGGATAACTAATAGGAAATTGGATGTTTTGGTGGTTGCTAGAAAATTTATGGTTTATACTCTTGTACAATCTGGAATATGTTTGACCAGATCAAATAGAGCTCTGAATCAATTAGAATACAAGTCTGGTACTTTTTTCTTTTACTGTTGCTAATTTATTTTTGCAGCTTTATTTTTGTTTTGTCGCAGAATTAGCTTTTACCTAGACTAAAATGCTTTCTTTTTCTCCTTTTAAGGTTTATCAGAATGGAAGTTGTTACAGAGGTAAAGAACTCTGATCATTTGTTAATATTCCTTTGTTTCCAATTTTAATTTATTTTTTAAAAGGTTGGGTAATGGTGGTCCATGAAGAACTTGTTTCATGGTTATGTTGTTCTATCTTGTCACAGATCAAAGACAGTGCTCCTTTAATTGCATTGGTGAGGTTGTCAGGATTCCCCGTCCTGACCATAGTAGGTACTTATTACTTAACTAACCATTCTCCTCCTTTGAAGTCCATGGACCACTTCTCTTTACTACGCTGTTTTAATTTGTGGCCTTCTTATTGAATGTAAACTTTTGGGGCATTAATTACCAGACTTTTCTTTAAACGAAATTTTGCTTTTTTGTTCAAAGAGATCAATTCTATGAAGTTTATACCATCCTAAGGGTTAAGTGCCCTAAGGCTATTTGTTGCAAAATTTATTACACTTTAAATAGTACTATGAGAGAACCATTGTGTGATGCATAGTGAATTGCTGACATATTAGTTATTACAGGACATTTGGTATTATAAAGCGGTTTGATAACACTACGAAGAAGCACTTGGTGAGAATTTTTTCATGTCTATTGTGGTTTGCTCACTTGCTGAGTGTACTGTCCAGTTAAAATCTCTGACAAACCATTATTGTATTGCAGATCATGTTTGCAGACGGCAGTGCTGAATTCATTGACATGTCCAAAGTAGATTGGGAATTTTGTAATTTCTTATTGTAGTTCAGGGTGAGTACAAGTTTATTTCTAATTTGTGTCTCCTAATCTCAACTGTGCCTTAGCTTGGGTGCTAATATGATGGCTACTTTGTTTTTCCTTATTTTAATTCATTAATGTTTTTCATTTTTTTTCCTAGCAATCACCTGTAATTAGTGAAGAACTGAAGATTACAAATTTTAAGCATTCATTTTCTTGCTAAATGACATTTGTTCCTGTCCCATATGCCCTTTTGTTGGAAGATGTAAAGCCATGGCTTTGAAGGTCTTTCATTTAGACCTTTAGTGAATTACCTTTGACATTTGCTGCCAACTAGCTTGTGATCGACAACTTGATCACAATTTAGTCCTCATGCATGCAAAACAACAAGAATTATGCCAAATACTACTAATTTAAAGAACAAGCTTCTGAAACTTCCTTATTTGCTTCATGTAGAGAACAAGTAGAGCTCACTGACCATCTGGTTCTTGAGTAAACTGAAGCTGGACCAGATACTTGTCCTGTTTCTGAGCACTGGCACCAGCATCCTCTAAGCATTAAGTTCTGGAATGTTTTTTTTATTTTTTTATTTAGTTATTTATTTATTTGTTTTATTTATTATTATTATTATTATTATTATTATTATTATTATTATTATTATTATTTTTTTTTTTTTTTTTTATTTATTTATTTTTTTTATTTTTAAATATGGATGTTGAAAAATTTATTATAAGCATTTAAATTTTTTTTTGGGATTTGTATTTGGAAAATCTGAGACAATTATTATTTTGAAGGCTTAATAATAACCCTTTTGACTTGTTTTATCCCTGATACTCCGTACTTTACTAGTGTAATTTACAATAGGGATTTTAATGCTCAAGAGACACAAATTTTCTGGAGGCTCCCGTAAGTGATGAGTTCTAAACTATATATATTATTCTGCAGAATGTCTGGGTTTCAGGCAGGAGATGTCTCTGCTATCTGTGTAACTGATCTTATTGCAAAACTGTGTTGAAACTTGCTTTATCTGATTGCTTAATATTTTACTTGATGTGTTAAGGTGTGCACTCCGTATATCTGTTCTTGTAGGATCTCTCTTGAATTTGAAAATTTTCATTACATGTTAAAATGTAGGTTTTCAATGAGGAATGAGGAGATAAATCCATTATGAGTAAAATCTTTTAGTTATTGAAGACATTCATACATTCGATTGTTTTTCTACATATTTGATCTCAATCATCTCATTATTACATAAAAATTCCCATCATCTGTAATCTTTTTTCATTCTGCTTTTTGTTACATGTATTTGCGTCAATTCATAAAATCGATTGAGCTTTTTGTGGGAGTGTAGAAGAATTGAACTTGAGGTTTTAAGATGATATGCTGAATGCCTTTCAGCAAATTGAAAATGGCTTACTTGAAAATGGTAAATGTGTTGTTGGTAAAAATAAAATTTGATTTATTGCAGGAAAAGAAGTAGGTAAACAATATTCTAATTAGTCTATCTGCCATTCAGATTTCTTTGGCAAATACGAGTAGTACAGACTATTGAGTACTCAAGTAGGTTGGCAAATTTAAAACCGTAGCTGTCATCTTCAGGAAGAAATTTAAAACTGAATAACCTACAACTTCTGTACGTTGCTTTTACTATATTTTCCTTCATATTGTGTTGGTGATACTGAATTACTGATTATACTTTGAAAATCATTGAGGAGGTGTCTACAATAAATTTGGTTGCCTCTCCCCCCTTCCCGTTATTCCTTTAACCCCTTTTGAGGTGGATTTGTGGCCATCTGAAACTTCAATTCAACTGTTCTTTCTTGTGTTGCAGAAGACGATCCACTGTTTAACCTCAACAAAGAATGCTCCAAGATGGGAGAGGATTGAACATTATCAAATTGGCAACATTATTTTTACTAACTCCTGTATCATTATCGACCCATGTATCAATCATTCTTTTGTGTTCTTTATTGGTAATAAAGAGTAAGAACTTGTAAGTTACTAAGTTGTTACATATGTACCCTGTTCCTCCTGAATGGATTTGTCTGAAGTTCTGATCCTTGATGGTTTTTTGCTGAAGTTCTGAACTTTTCTTATATTGGAGTAATTATTTTCCATTACACTACCTTCGTTAACAGATTTACAATATTTACCAAAAACGGGTGTTAACTTATTTCTTTCCTATTTTAGTAACTTTTTTATGTTAAAATGACCAAAATGCCCTCATTTAAAAATTATTATTACGAAATATTATAACCTTAATCTAAATTAAATTAATTTTCTCTCTCCTCCATCTCTTAGTTCATCTTTCTCTCTCCTCCGTCTCTCATTTCATCATCTTAATCTTTCATCTTTCTTCAAATTTCAATTCATTCTAATAGGGAGTTTTAGATCTGGTTTTTCTTGGGTGGTTTGCTTGATTTGTGGTTGGATTTGGTGGCTTGTGGGTGGATTTGCAGATTTGTGGGGGTGGTTCGTGGGTGAAATTTGGTGGTTGTTTGGTGGATTTCGTGGTTGTTGGGTCGATTTCGTGGTTGTTGGGTGATTTTTGTAGTTCGTGGTTCATGGATTTCGGTGGTTCTTAGGTGGATTTTGTGGTTCGTGGGTGGTTTTCAGTGGTTGTTGGGTGGATTCAGTGGTTCTGGAGTGGTTTTCGTGGTTGTTGGCTTGATTTCTTGGTTCATGGATTTTAGTAGTTCTTAGGTAGATTTCGTGGTTTGTGGGTGGATTTCGGTGGTTGTTGGGTGGTTTTCATGGTTGTTGGGTGGATTTCGTGGTTGTTGGGTGGATTTCAGTGGTTATTGGGTGGGTTCCGATGACTTCTGCGTGGCATGGGTGGTGGTTCGTGGGTTTTGGGTAGCGTGTGGGGGTGGTTCTGGGAAATTCTGATTAAATTGTAATTTTTTATTTTTTATTATTTGATTAATAGTTAATTAAATGTCCATAACTTTCAATAATCATGTTTTTGAAGTTTTGCCCAGGACTCCGCGCTGAACCCCTTTGTTGTATAACTGTTAATGGAGGTAGTATATTTTTTAATCATGAATCCTTCAATTTTTTTCTTTTTTTTATTTTTTATTTTTTTTTTTATTTTTTTTTTATGTTTTTGTTTATTTTATAGTAACTATGAACGAGTAGTCACTTTCTAGGGTCTAGTCTGGGAAGCCATGTTTCATGATTATTTGTGATTTAAAGTTAATAAATCTATGATTTAAAGTCGATTAATACTAATTGATGTGTTTTAATTTTCAATTCATGTAATGACCAATATCATAATTTAATTATTTGGCTAATAAAAAATAGAATGGAAAGATCATATCTTCAAGTAATTAATATTACAACTTAATTTTGACTGAACCCTTTGGAAAACACCCAAGCAACTAACGAACCGACACACGAGTTAATTCGGAAGGATTTAATGAGTCGATCGAGTAATTAATATTTAGAAGTCAGAAATTTGAGCTTGGAGCGTCAAATCCGAGCATCCGAAGTCGAGTCGAAATAATAAAGGACGAGACGGTAAAATCACTAATTAATCAACAATTTACCAAAATACTCCTAGGATCGGAATGCCCCAAGAAAACCGATGCCTATGGGCATTTGGTATAGCCGAGGTGGCTAGCAAGCGCCCTAAGCCGAGCCTAGGCTGGCTGGTGCGTGCTAGCGCACCATGGCTAGCATGGTGCTAGCCACGACAGCCAGGCCAAGGCAACAGCCGCAAGCCAAGGCTAGCAGCTAGTTGGGCCAAGGCTACAACCGCAAGCCATGGCCAACGGCAGCCCACCGGCTGCCTTGGTGCCCAATTAGGGGTGCCATGTGGCATCCACCCATTGGTGGTTTATGTGTGTAGGTGGCCAGCTCTTAGGGAGGTGCTTGAGGATCAAGTTTAGTCCCCTTCCCTCCTTGTGGTCCTCACCTAAACTCTTCTCCTAAATGTGTCACTTGTTGATTAATAAACTGTTTTAGCCAAGATGAGAAATAGGAGGAGATGAAACACTTAGGAAAAGATAAAGTGTTGTTTGTAGGAGTAAAACACTATTTCTATGTTGAGAAAAATGTATTGTGTTTGCCGTTAATTTTTTCCCTCTATATGATCACAAGTAAAAATGGGCACAGGCCCAGCACGATTCCGGCACGGTAGCCCACCTGTGGGCCGTGGGCCGTGCCGTGAACACAAATCTGGGAATCGGCACGGGCACGGCACGAGGCACGGTGGCGGGCACGGCACGAGGGGTCGACACGCTGGCATGACACGCCGACACGACACGTGACACGAGGGCACAACACGTGGGACGGTCGGGCACGGCCCGGCACGGCACGAGGCCCGCCATAATTATAAACTATTGTACAATTTTTGTATTATCGAACCTCGTATTCCGTATAATAAATGAAGTTATTCACCAATTATTGTACGATTTTTAATTATCATTAATTATTTGTATTATCGATTTATCATACCGGCTGCCGGCATATAATAAAATAAGTTATTCTTCAATTTTTTGTGTTTTCGTCTTATTGCACTCGTAATTTTTTGTTTTTGATTATATGCATTGTTGTTTTTTGCTAAATTAATAAAATTATTTATATAAATTTAAACATAATTAGATAAATAATTTATATAACCTTAGATAAAATAAAGTTGTTCAAAACAAAATATATTAACATAAACATAAATTAAACTACATTGAAATATATATATATATATATATATATATATATATATATATATATATAATCTTTTATTTACATTTGTTATTAAAAAAAATTGGCACGATTTGACCCGCAGCCCGGCACGGCACGATACGCCCATCACCGCGGCACGGCCAGGCACGACCTGCGGCGGCACGGCATGGCCCGTTGCCCATCCTTAATCACAAGGCAACTGATGTTCATGACAAGAAATTGTTTGGATCTTAGAATAGTATCAAAGTTGGAAGTTATAGAATTGGTCGAAAAAAAAAGCTAAGTTTTGGGTGAGACGGACTCATCGTGAGTCCGCCGTCACCGATTTCCCGCAGTCCGCCTGCCTTGACCTTAACCCAGAAACTCACACCTCGACTCCAACTCATAAACACCCACCTTGGCCTTGACCAGAAATACCCACCCGACTTTGACCTCGGCCCTGACCAGAAACACCCACCCGAGACAGCCAGGCCAAGGCAACAACCGTAAGCCAAGGCCAGCAGCTAGTTGGGCCAAGGCTGCAGCCGCAAGCCGCAAGCCATGGCCAACAGCGGCCCACCCGGCTGCCTTGGTGCCCAATTAAGGGTGCCACGTGGCAGCCACCTATTGGTGGTTTTTGTGTGTAGGTGGCCGGCTCTTAGGGAGGTGCTTGAGGATCAAGTTTAGTCCCCTCCCTTCCTTGTGGTCCTCACCTAAACTCTTCTCCTAAATGTGTCACTTGTTCATTAATAAGTTGTTTTAGCCAAGATGAGAAATAGGAGGAGATGAAATACTTAGGAAAAAATAAAGTGTTGTTTGTAGGAGTAGAACATTATTTCTAAGTTGAGACTAAATATATTCTCAGATTTAATAAGGAAAATTGTCTTGTGTTTGTCGTTAATTGTTTCCCTCTGTATGATCACAAGTAAAGATGGGCACGGGCCCGACACGATTCCGGCACGTCACGGCACGACAGTCCACCTGTGGGCCGTGCCGTGAACACGAATATGGGAATCGGCACGACACGAGGCACGGTGGCCGACCCGTGGGTTAGCACGCTTGCACGGCATGGAGACACGACACGTGGCACGACTGGGCACGACACGAGGCCCACCATAATTATGCAATTTTGTACAATTTTTGTATTATCAAACCTCGTATTCCGTATAATAAATGAAGTTATTCACCAATTATTGTACGATTTTTAATTATCATTAATTATTTGTATTATCGATTTATCGTACCGGCTACCGGCATATAATAAAATAAGTTATTCTTCAATTTTTTGTGTTTTCGGCTTATTGCACTTGTAATTTATTTTTATTAGATGCATTGTTGTGTTTTTTCTAAATTAATAAAATTATTTATATAAACTTAAACATAATTAGATAAATAATTTATATAACCTTAATTAAAATAAAGTTGTTGAAAATAAAATATATAAACATAAACATAAATTACGTTATATATATATATATATATATATATATATACATATATATATATATATATATATATATATATATATATAAACTTTTTGAAATGAAGTCTACTAAATAGATTTTTTGTAAACTTCTCCCCCGTGGGGTTGGGGGGTAGCGTTCCTTCTTAATGTAGCTAATGTGGTTAATGTTGCTATCCGCCCTTACCATTTCTGGTAGGAAATGGGATGAGGGCGTTCCTTTCCTGCCTCCTTCGATAAGGAAGGTTTCTTTAAATTCAAGGTTTTGTTAAAATTTTCTTTGAATTCCTTGAATTTATAGCTTCAAAAACTATGAATGTACCGTGCGTACTATTATTTATCTTGACCGCAGCCTCCCGGGCGAGGGCATTTCTGCTTCACTCTGCTCTAAGGGTATAGCAGCCGTCGTTCGAAACAAGTTTCTCACTCACAAGTCGTAGCTTCGCTCCTCCGCTGGTCTGTGCTCCCCCCGTGGGTTGGGGGTCGTGTCCTTCGAAAATCCGAATTCGAGGTTGGGGCGAATTCGGTTTTCTCAGTTGCCTTGTCGCGTGAGAAACTTGTTTCGAACTGTCCCTTTTTTCCAGTTTTTTAAGGAAAATAAGGGACTGGCATCTGCTATATTTGGTTACCCCCGTCGCGTCGTTCGCTTTCATGCGTGTGAAAGTAAGGTCTCCCCTTCTTCATCCGTAGTATCTCCCCGGAACGAGCCCTTTCCTAAATGGCTAAGGCTCGCAAGGGCCCTTTTGGGGCTTTGGTGTTTTGAGCTAGGTTTTAGGCTTCAGTCCGGTAACCGAGAGCGAATTTATATATATATATATATATATATATATATATATATATAAAATTGTCTTTTATTTACATTTATTATTAAAAAAAAAATTGGCACGGTTTGGCCCACGGCCCGGCACGGCCCGCCAGGCACGTGGGTCGTGCCGAGGGCTGGGTTGTGCCAAATTTAGGCAAGGCACGACC